ATTTCAACAGCTGGAAGATCCGTATCAACGCGGCAAAACCCCAGGTCATCATCTTTCAACACAACATCATGTTCCGTCGGTTAATAATAAGATTTGCCTGAACGGCACATTGGTGGAAAGGTCGAAGGAGGTAGTCTACCTCAGCTTAACACAAGACAGCAAGCTGATTTTCAGGGAGCACGTTGACAAAACCAAAACCAAGTGTAACATCTTGATAAGATCACTGTATCCACTCATCAACAGGAGGTCTACTATATCCCTGAAAAATAAGCTTGCTGTCTACAAACAAATCATCCTTCCCGTAATAGGATACGGGATGCCAATCTGGGAGAGTTGCGCCAAATGCCATCACCTTAAACTTCAAAGGATCCAGAACAAGATCCTTCGGATAGTCCCCCGCACTGTTTACCCCCGCGGACTAGAAATCCTGAGATCCACCTGCTGGCTGGAATTCAGACATTAGAAGAACGGAGAGTATTCATCCTGGAAAGGTTCAGAGACGCCTGTCTGTGATCAAATCAGCAGATCATACGTGATCTAGCACGTTAGGTTAAGTTATACTCGTAGTTACGTAAGTTTCCACTTTTTTCAATTCAAACAAAACACACCCCCAAAGGGAAAATCTGTTAACTAGTTGAAAAACGCAAATATTAAATTAGAATATCAAATTAAACAAAGATGTAGAGCCAGGTAGGCTAATCAATTTAAATGTTAAATCAATGTACAATCATAATCAACAGAAATAAACATAATTTTACTTCTACTACTACTCCAGTTGAAGATTGTTCTTATACCTTTCTCGATTGCATTTTCGAGGGGACGTGTCTGCTTTTGTGGGCAGAGTGTTTGGTTTGGTGTGGCTGGTCGATCGCATGCGCCTGCTGGCGCCGCTATCAGGTAGGAGAAAATTTATATCTGGTGGTGATGCTGGCATGCGTGGGTGGGATGCCAGTTGCGCCGGATTGGGGATCGGATGCATTGTTTGCGGGAGAGGATGTGTCCCTTCGAGGGAGTAATCGAGATTTATTTTCATCGTTTCCCATTAGCCAGAGGGATGACCTCCATTGCAGGCATGTTCCTCGGTTTTTACGGTTAGGTTCCTACGAATAATGCATTATAATTTTTTGTTTCATGTTGAAGCATGATTCGTTAAGAAAATAAATAGCGGCACCGGTGGTGTAGTGGTAAGCGTGAATACCTTTCACCCCAGCAGGCCTGGGTTCAATCCCAGTCGGCGCCTCCGGGATGTTCTGAGGCATAACATCTCTGATCACGCCTTCCTTCGGAAGGGAAGTAAAACCGTTGGACCCCGGGGTCGATAGGTAGGGTCTAGGTGTGGGAGCTGCCTCTCTGGCGTCGGTAGCATTGGTGCTCAGCACGGAAAACAAGATCAACGGAAAACAAGCTTGGCACTCGACCGATTGCTTTTTGATGTGTTGTTAGGTGTGCCCTTAACACGATCATCGGGCAGTGGTTGATGACTGACGGTAGTCACGGTGGTCGTGTTTGATTGTGTGATTTGGTGGTTTTGATGCGGTAGTTTGACGCATAATCGGGCACCAATCTTACCGCACCGTAAATCGATCATAGTTTCACCGGTGACCTTCGTTCGTGTTGTACAATTTTGGTGGGTTGTTGACAAAAGTTTATTATTATTTCTGAACAGTGTGACCACAGTGGACGTTCGGATTACTACGCGTATTCCGCTGATTATTTTGATTAATCGGTTTTAGAACTTTTTCGGATCGGATTCCGTATCGGTTATAATTGTCGCTGTTTATAATGTGTTGTGATTCAAAAAGTTCAATGAAGGTTTTATGGTGGTAGTTTTTGCATGCCATATTTCTGTTTATGTGTTTTTATATGGTGTGTATATTTTTTCCCTTTAATTACTTTTCGAAATTTTCCAATTTTTTTTAAGGTTGTGTTGGTTCAGGAAAGGTGATTATAATTGGGAGCTTGTTCCAGTTAATAACAATCCGTTTATATAGAACATAAGAAAAGCGGTATGCATCCGAGTGCAAGAACATAGTTGAGCCCTGTGGGGAAAATACATTACGATTTATCCCAGGCCACTATTGTAGAAAATTGTGCCTGTTAGATCTTGGGCGGAACGCTTCGGAATATTTAGAAAAGTAAAGTGCATTTTTGTTCCAGTTTAGGATACATTATTGACTGCTCTCGAGAACGTAATTTCAATTTAATATCTTGTTTAATCAGGGCCTAAACAATCGTTACGTTGGTCATAACTTGTTATGATGTAAGAGGCACGATAGCCTGCGTAAAGAGCTAATCGAAACATTGAACGTCGCGTGAAAGTGGAACTCAATGAAGACCTAAGTGCTTTTTCGTAGCTTTAAGTTTTCGGAGTTGAAAGATTGTCGGTTGCAGTGGCTTGCTTACTGAGCAGAAAAACGAGGTCCCAGGTCCTTTCATATTAAAAAAATATATAGACAAATCGCTTGGTTACCGTGTATTTTGCGAAACTTGTCGTCGTCGGTGTCGGGTTTGAATCGTTACAACAACTCGAGTAAAGATACCCAACAAACAATTTTAGCTGCAGATTAGCTTATACAGTCAAAATTTGCCTTATGCAGCTATTTTTTGCCTGTATAAGCTAAACTTCAGCTAAAATTGTTTGTTGGGTATAATGTGATATGAGGGGCTCGGTGGCTTTAGAGCGATCGTTTTTGCTTACTGAGCAGAACACCATGAGTCTAATCTCAGGCCCATCCACATTCAAGATTCGTCAATCACTTTATTTGTTAATATGACTACATGCAACAGCAACTCGATGATTGAAAAGGAGCTGGTTTGCCTAGTGGCAAACTTTTTTGCTTACTGAGCAGAAGATCGTGGGTTCAAGCCCAAGCTGCTTCGCGTTATATGATCGTTAGGACATCAATTCAGCGTATCGTTCACCAAACGAGCCCTGCTGCAATCCAAACCCTCTTACCCAATATCCCAGTGATTTCTCTTGGAAGTGCAGAGGTATTCTCGGCTTCCATCAAAGCGAGTGTCGCGTCAACACATTCCTACCCCTTCCTTTCTTGACTTGTGTTCGGGAGCGGCCGGTGCTTGTATTACCTAGTTTGAGATCACCAGTTTTTACACATTGAGGATGATTGCTAGTCCCAAGCATCGTCTATTGGTTCTCTGTGTAATTACAGCTGATCTGGCAATCACAGTTGGGCGGTCAATCATGCTCATGCTCAGAAGATCTAAGGGGGAGCGGATCGCATCCGAGAATTCGCTTGTCCTTGAAGAGGCGGAAAGTCCTCCGCCCTGAAAGCTGGGGCCTTATCCTTCCTTCGTCCTGATTGATTGTTGGAGGATGCCTGTTTTCGGATGCGCTTGAAATCCTCGCGTTTAGGGCACTGCTTGTCGGACCCTTGGTGAGCACCACCACAGTTGGTGCATTTGGACGCAACAACATCATCCGCAGCACATTCGGAGGTGGCATGGTCTTGAGCGTCAGCCATTAATGACACATCGTCTTCGTCATACATAAATATGATTTATACGCGTGATCATGATGTGAGTTGAAATGGGCCCATTAGATGTATTATTTGATGTTAGCATCCGAAAAACAAGATTATAGGCAATTTTTCTATATTTTAGTGTGAATAACTGCGTCGATTGAAATATTTTCTGAAATTAAATTAGTGAAAACATTTTAAAATTATGAATTCGAAATATACTATTGCAGCACCCTTTGTATAATGCCCAAGGGTTATATTTTACGCCTCGCCGATAAAATTTGGTTGTCAGCATGCCATGATTTAACTAAGCTATGAAGATGTCTGACAATTTGCCAACAAACAAGAATATTTTGTTGCATTCAGGCAGAGCTCTTTAAAATTTAATATTCTTCGATCATGAAGGTTCTGCCCGAGATGGATATTTTATCATTTTTATGTTAGCTAAATTGTTAAACGAATTAACGAAAATTATCTCGTGAAGGTTTTTTCTAACGAAAATATTGATAATGGATAATGACGAATGAATAATATTGAAATCCACTCTTACATTTGATGTTCATGCAGTTAATGCCATTTGTTTTGCGTGTACTAAAATTTCAATGTAAATATGGTTGTGAAACAGGCCATTCATTAATCAAATCTTCTACATCAACATCTCTGTAAACAAAGAAATCACTATCATCCATTACCAGCCGAACACGTGCAGTACATTAAACTTCGATGTCCACAAGTGTAACAAGCGTGACACTTCCGCGTCACAGAGAGCTGTATGTACAGAGTTTCAGCAGAGATTGCGAACAATAAACAGTGATCCACCTGTTCGGGGCTGTTGATTAAAGTAAGTCCCCATCAAGTGGTCGACGCCGACCATATTGGAACGAAGTGATATCAATTAGATTTATCAGCAGATACTCAGGCACTCAATACACAACTAAGTTATCATTTTTACTCTTTTTCCGGCGATAACAATACAAACATCATTTGTTGCATGGTTGTTAATGCGAAATCGATATCGCGACATTCTCAGTTTTGTCGATACGTTATAACTTTTACTTTGCTTTGTTTTGGAGCAAAATCGGAAATTGATCCATTTTCGGAAAGGATTTCCCTCGCTTACCAAACGACTGAATCCCAGACCTTCGGCTAATGCATAGTCCTTCGCTTGCAATGACGCTCCAGCCTAAATGCTCGAGGTACCTGTTGAGCGTGTTTTAGATGTCACGATAAGTGGACTGGGAGTAGACAGAACACCATACCTATCGTCGGCATACAGGGCGCGCAAACACACACACAGGTCATTGTTGATAAGGAGCATGGCCGGCAGTGTTGAACGTTCTGTATATGTGGGATTCTTTTTTTTTTGTAACTGTAGTTGTCGTGTATGTTGTCAGCGAAAATGGGTTGGGAATTCGATACCACGGCCGTTACGCGTCACGTCAGTCAATCGGAAGCCACGACGATGGATAGGTGCCTCTAGGAAAGAGGCCTACCGGTTCCTAAGAATTGTTTTTAAGCTTTGCGGTGAAGGACACAAATATAGGCGGATTGGTCGCAAAAGAAAATCGAAGAAAAGTGTGGTGATTTGATATTTATTTTATTGTGGATTAAGAATGAGGAGAATTTCCAATGACGGAAGTGTGATTTGAGCGTTTGAAGATTTGATTCAGTAGTGCTGAACGAAATTGACAGAAATTACGGATCATGCGATAAGTTTCGTTGTAGCTGTTTTTTGTGTGTGCGACGGGGAAGTCGATGTAAACAATGTAAACGATGTAAACAACAATGCGAATATTTCGTGGACTTTTCTGATGTTATTGGAACATGTTTATTGTGCTGATTGTAAGAATCTTATCTACTACTATCCTTGAAGATGGTTCAAGTATGTTCTGGTTCAAACAACGTTGAAAATGTGCTATAGATAAAGGATGATTTTTCCGTAAATTTGTTTTGTGAGGGATGTTGCGATCAAAATTTGGTCAAACAAGAATGCGTGTAAATTGATTATTTTTTTTTTATTAAAAAAATCAAATTATTGTTCTTTTCTAAGTTCAAATACAGAAAATAAAATCTTCAGCTATGCTTCCGGTTGACCGAGTCCGAATTGCCGGGCCTTTCGTTTAACTCCTGCCATCAGATTCTGTACTGGCACCTCGTCCACTTTGTTCGACGCAGAACGCCAGTTTGCCTCAAACTGCTTTTGCTTCCAAACAGTTTTTTGGGTCTTCTCTAGGGGCACGCAATAGCCTTTACCTCCGACGCAGGCTACGGCTGTAATTAAATTAATTCCATTAACTACTGCTTTAAGTCCATTAAACTGTACATTAAACAAACAAACAATGTTGCATGCAAGAAAAACCGAATACACTCAGGTCTTTTTTTACAACGGGGATACGTACCGTGTAAAAAAAAAAAACCGCGTAAAAAAAATTTACGAGATTTTAATTTTTCACATGCTTAAATGTTTTTAAAAAATCGGATTTTGATGCCATTTGTAATTATAGCATGCTATGGTCCATGTAGACATATTTTAAAAATTTCTGTATTTACATAAAAAATTGTGATTTTTTTTCTAAGTATACCATTCGATTACCTATAGCTTGAAACGGATAATGTGATTGGAATCAAGTCGATAGGTTGTATCGTTGTCGAGAAATCGTTAAAAACGTACCGTGTAAACCGCGAAAAACCGTGTAAAAATAACCGTGTAAAAAAAACCGCGTAAAAAAAAAACCGTGTAAAAAAAGACTTCAGTGTATATAGAAACGTCAAAGTGATCCGATGCCAGCGCTGCGGCGAATAGTTCGGGGAAACGAAAACATTCAAACCCAATCCACAGACAAACAGACATAACACTCGCAAGTTGTTCATCGAACAAGCATTTAACGGACAATTTAAAAGTATCCTAGTTGGTAGTACCACCACCTGTGGCGCGCATAGTTAATTCCCTTGCGTTTGACATTTACACACTACTGCCATCTGTTCAGCATAGTGCCCACCACAGTGTACTCAACAGATGGCGGTAATGTTTTAGCGTCGATGTTTTACAGTGAGAAACACTGAATGTGTTATGTCTGTTTGTCTGTGCCCAATCGTTAAATGCGCAAACGATGATCCAGAATAAAGAGTTACGTCTGTTTTTCTGTGATTAAAGTACATTAATTACATTTTGCATACTTTTAATTACATTAAGTACGCATAGTTCATTTTAATTACCGTCAGTGCAACTTCAAAACGCATTAATTACTTTAAGTACTTTCGATTGCATTTTAACTTCAACGCTTTGTATTGCGTGAACCTCGGGTCTTCTTCAAGTTCCGTTTGACGAGCGGCCCAATATTTTTCGATTGGGCTGAGGTCTTGTGTGTTGGGAGAGTTCTTGTCCTCGGACGATGTTGGCGGCATACTCCTGTCCAGGTAGCTGTTTGAAGTCTGCTTTGACGTAGGTTTCGTCATCCATTACCACGCAATCGTGTTTTGGTCGTCTTGTTTTGTTTTCGTCGTGACTTGGAGTCACTACCTTCTTATAAGTCGACAGTCCGGCTCGTTTTTTAGCTCAATGCACGGTTGTAGACGACACTCCCAGCTTGTTTTCGACATCTCGAACGGAGAGGTAGGGGTTCCGCTTGAAACCGCTGGCCACTCTTTTTGTCGTCGTTGTGGTTTCCGGTTTTCGATTTCCCCCCGATCCAGACTTCCTGGCTGTCGACAAACGTTCCTCGAACGCTTTTATTACGTTGTTGACAGTTGAATGGCCACTTTTAACGATTTCGCTAACTCCGCGTGCGAGTAGTTCGAATTTTCACGATGTGTTGCTCCTCTTGCTTGGACGCCATTTTGATAACAGAAAAGCAAATGTCAAAATCAAAATAGAGGCATCATTCTGCACGTACACACCTACTACATGAGGTGTGTTTCAGCTCGATTAGAAGAAATGCGTCATGTTTAAGACGACCAAATTTTGATCGTAACACCCTTTAAAACATTACTAAGCTAACAGCGGTGCCGGTGATGTAGTGTTAAGCGTGATTATCTCTCCCCCAGCAGGCCTGGGTTCAATCCCAGTCGGCACCGCCGCGATGTTCTGAGGCATAACATCCCTGATCACGCTTTCCCTCGGAAGGGAAGTAAGGCCGTTAATCCCAGGTTCATGAGTTGATGGATCGATAGGTAGGGTCCAGGTGTGAGAGCTGCCTCCCTGGCGTCGGTAGCATTGGTGCCCAGCACGGAAAACAAGATCGACGGAAAACAAATCAAGGAAAAAAAATTCTAAGCTATTTTAACATCCATTGATGTAATAAAGTAAAGTACACCGGGGCAAGTGGGACCTAAAAGTGTGACAGTACAGCATTATGGGCTTGTGCAATCTACAATAATAATTGATTTAAATTTTTAAATATACAGTAATTATCTGTTGGCATCAGGGCTATCTTGCATCAATATAGAGAGAGCAAAGTCAATGATGAGAAATCTTGTATTACCCTCCAAGAATCTATTCGGAATAATAAAATCAAAAGATGCTATGATGACATGTTTTACTTTTAACTTACAAGAAGAGGTTACACAGTATGCGTTTGAAACATAAAACCTGTAAATTTTGCTTTCTATGAGTAACAATCAGCGATTTGCTGATCGCTAAGTGAGTGAGTGAGTGAGTGAGTGAGTGAGTGAGTGTGTGAAAAATCGCTGATTGTGACTCTCATGAAGTGAAATAAACAGGTTTAATATGTCAAACACATTCTTTGCAACCTCTTCTTGTATCTTACTTATTCAAAATATGATCATAGCATCTAATTATTTCATAATTTAGAAAAACATTGTTTTAGCTGAAATGAGTATTTGCAACCTTGTTACTATCTTCGTCGCACTTCAAACACCGCATGACAATTTCCGTATGCATACAGTCGTCTTTCATTTACTTCGTTTTAAAAACTATCTCAGTATGTGCTCTCTCTCTCTCTCTCTCTCTATGTTGTTTGACAAAAAAAATTGGTGGGTTGTGCATAGAACACGACCGCATGGTTGACGTAGACTTCTGTGTAGTGAAATTCTCGTGAATTTTTCTAGATATTGATTTAAAATACAGTAGAAGTAACCTATGATTTTGGTCCTATTCACATATTTTGGATTTCCTACTTAGTAAAACATGGTTAAATTCAGGACCTCATAAAAATGAAAATACTTATTCTATTACATTTGGTTCCTAAATTACAATCAGATATGAGTAAGGCTTTCTTCAGGTGATTCATTGAAGCGTCCAACAATGAACGTCAAGATGGCTGATATTCCCTATCACTTCAAGATTTCTAGGGCACAAATCTTGGACGGTTGTGACATCACTCATGAAATTGAAACTCCTTGTGTACACAATTTTACACAGATTACAAATTCGACAGTGAGCATACATAAGGACGTAACTGCTATGATCGATTTTCTCTTTTGTTAATAACTTGCTTGGATTAACATTTCTCGGTGCGTTTGCTGTTCCTTTGGTAGCCAAAACAACCCGTTACAGGCACTACATTGAAAAAAAAAATCAGATAATATTCAAGCTGAACATTGCATTAAGTCCCAAGTAACATTGATCGATTCTCTTCGTCGACTTTCTCTTTCGTTAATAACTTGAGCACATAACCGTTTCTTGTTGTGTTTGTCGAATTAGATGCTAGATAAAACTTTCTTTATCGATCTGTGTGCTGAAAATACCTGGGAATGTCTTTACATGGCCGAGGGAATACAAGGAGAAAGTCGGCGAAGAGAATCTTGTCAATGTTACTAAGCACCTAATGCTATATTTAGCTTGAATTGTTTTTCTTAGCTGTAGCAATGTAAATACAAAATCGATGACGAGAATCAATTATTGCAAGTAGGCCCTTTTGAACGCTCACTGTCGAATTTCAGTACCTATCTAGAAAAAAAAAAACTCGACGCTACCTCTATTTATGCTAAAAGATAAGCATTATAAGTCCCTCCTACTTGGAGGGAATCTAGGATTTTATAAACCGTTCTATAGCTTAATTTTCCAAGTAGGATGGACTTTCATAGCTTATCTAAAAGCATAAATAGAGGTACCGTCTGATAATTTCAGTGCTTGGTATAGAAATCTGTAATCTCTATAGGAAAATCACAGAAACACTACGTTTTCTTATGCAAAATAATGGAGAATCAAATGGAGGGATGTCAAGTTAAAATGTTCCTATCGCGAGATATTCACGATAAATACCGAAATTTCATATAAATGTCCAACCGGTTTTGTGTGTGTGTGCTGCAGATTTGCACTGTAGCCCAATGCTTAGGGAACTTTCATAAATAACGTATTAGTTGAGGGGGGAAAGGGGTTTCAGAAGTTGTGACCGGCCATGTATTAGGTATAACAAAACACGCTACGAGGAGGAAGGGAGTTTCATTGGTCAAAAAAATTCTACGTCATTTATGGATGGTCCCTAATTTTACTTCCAAGGCTGTGTTCCAATGGGCGAGTTAAATTTTGAAAGTATTTTTCGATTACTTTTTCGAAGGGACGTATCAGCTTTTGTAAACAACGATTTGGCTTAACTGGTAGCTCACCCACGCATGCTAA